GTCCCACGTGGGCCACTCACTCATGAGCCACCAGTGGCTCAGGATGTCGTCAACGTGTTAGGCAGCGTTCAGACTTCGCGACGGCAGCGCTTCGGTCGCGCGTTCGACGCGATCGATGCAGTCGAAAGCATGCGCATCGATCGCGTCGAACGCGCGACTGCCGTCGCGAAGTCTGAACGCTGCCTTAACGGCAGCGCAATTGTGTAGTGTGTCTATAACAGCGGAAATTCGGCTATTGTGGAAAATGGCAAAATTATTACGGAAAGTTTTCGGCAAAGGCGAGTTCTTCTACCTTTCAATTCGCATAACTTTGTCGAGGCATAACGTAGCGTTCCAGTGAGCGTAGCCCTATTGCTAGCGGAAATTTGCACGTCGCGGATTGTGCTCCGAAAGTTTGCTCTGTAGGAGGGTCTCCCTATACAGCCCACATTTAATACAGAAATGTTGAACGATTGCCCTACACATCTTCCCACTTGTGATAATCAGGAATCGAAGCAGTGGGACGCGTTTCCATGGAATGCGCCAAATACTCGTCTTCCACTCAGAACCGCAACATGGATCTATGGAATACGGACCTGATATGAAGCGAACAATCCTCTGGGCCAGCTAATACGTTCCCCGCCATCGTTAAAGGAGCGTGACTTGTTGCTAATGCTGTAGTTTCATTTACAGTGAAATACATAATTTGTTATTGAATTTCCAGCTTGATGGGAAAAACCGCGCTCTACATACTGCGAGGCACAAAAGCAATGGCGCTGTCCCATTAATGTGGCCGCTGCTCCGTTCATTGTCGATATCTGTATATACGACCCCTCTATCGACAGGTCACATACGACCCCACGTCACGAATTCTGCGAGGTACGCTCAATCCTGGAACAACATCAGTATCCTTTATCGCGGCTGATTCTGTTAAAGGCAGCGTCCGCGTTCAGTTGAGATTTTCCTCTCCCTTCGTGAGCAGGTAGTCAGGTCCGCTGAGGCAACAACTACACCACTTTCGCGGCGCAAAAACGAGTGAGGAAGCCCACGATGCCGTCGTTCTTATCATTGACCCAACCTACAATCATTGGCACCGCCCACCATTCATTTCTAATGGTTGCCTGATGGTGCGGTTGTTTCGCTGCTGCTTCTCTCCACGTCGAGTGGTGAGAGTGAGGTGATAAGGGAAAACAGCTGATATCAACAAGTGAGAACTCGTGCGATCGCACCTTCTCTTCGCCTTGAGCACGTACAACCTCAATTAAGCAAGGGGTTCTATATAGAGCCTTTCCTATGATTTCTTTCTGATTTTTCTTTACTGAGGGGTTACTTGCTACCTTGTTATAAGTATTTGAGCCGCATAACTCATCAAATTTGAATGCGGGCTCAGCCTTTAACTCAATAAAGTTGGAAACTGGGATGGTAGTCAGTGACGCAATTCGTAGAAAATTGTCGTACAACATCAAGAGTTATACTCGAAATCCCTGAGATCGGGTAGGCGTGGCCGCATGTTTCAACTTAACCTGAAGGTGTCTATGCTTCTGGTGAGATATTTTCATCTTGACACAACTGTTGTCGTGCCTCTGTCCAACCCAGAACAAGATGACAGTTGTCCCAGACTGGAATATTCCACGAGTAACCAGTTCCGTGCCATGTTCAAATGCCACGCCTACTCTAGGCTCAGGGATAAGGAGTGTACTGCCACCTGGTCAGAAAAGGAAGGGAGAATTCAGAATGTGCAAAATCAACAGATTTTATACTGAAATCAGTATTCGCCATAAAAATGAGTGCTTTATGGAAGAGAGAGGAAGATCGGTAAAGAACTCCGAAAAGAATAAAACAAGTTCTCGACAAAATAAATAGTGACGAGTATGCAAGGCTGTTATTGGGCTCGCTTGGGAACCTGTTGTCGATCAATAACTGCGAGAGCTGCTGCAAGAATGTGCTATTTAAAACTGCACAGCTGGTTTTTTACGGGTTCTCCGGCTAGCATCATTTCTTTGGAGAAGTCGACGGCGTCGCAAAACACTAACCTAGCTAACTATTTGGAAATGTCAATCGAATGAGAACGACAAGCCTCACACAAGAAATTTTGGAGTTTGTTCATATTTTTGGTGTACTAGAGGTTCATTTGATATTTTAACATTCAAAGAGCTAGGTTAGCTGATTAAATGATACTGATAATAGGATTATAACTTGATGATCTTTCGTTTTTTTTCTTGCAGCAAAGGTTTCATTTATTCTGCAGCGTAGCTGGATCTACGATATTCCTGTGACGACCAAGTCCAATCATTCTGTCAGTCGCGAATCGCTTGAAGCTGAAACATCGTGGGCTATTTTGGCACGTTCGAAGGTGGAGGGGTGGAGCAGTGTACAGTCATGATCCCTAGAAAGGGCGTTTGAGGGGCGTGATTGGAGCACAGTCACGGCTGCCTTTTCCACCAATGATGCCATAGCGGGTAAGCAACAGCTTGCGGGAGAGGCTACCCTCGCTGCGCTTCCATTCATTCATCTTCATTCATCTTGTCCGTATAGCATTCTGCGGCCACTGTGACCTCACACATTCCTTCTTTCCGCAAATGATAGGTGCAAAATGGTAGGTGGCTCACCTAGCCCAAAGTGGCGCTGGCCGGTCAAGTCATGGAGCTAGACTTTCACGTGAGTAGGTGAAGGGAGCTACAAAGGAGAGCTTTATTTCCGTAAGACAGACTGTTCTCGAGCTTTTCCTGATGCGAGTGCTAGAAGGCACTCTTTCAGCTAGGCTCTGGGATGAGAGAACACGCCCCTTCCTAGTGCAGGCCTCAAGGAAGACGCTGTATGGACAACCGGACGTGTCGGTCATGGTGGAAGCCATGTATGCATTCAGCAAGGAAACAGCAACCATAGACACACGTTCAAAATTCAATTACAACAAACGACACGGCGTGTGAAGAGGCATGAGTGGCACAACGCAGGCCGGATAGGCCTTCCGCCCCATCCCCCCCTCCCAAGCTGTTGCTAACCCACTGTGGCATCATTGGTGCGAAAGGCAGAGGTGCTCCAATCCACGCCTTGGGCCTAGTCCCCTCCGGTCACCATCTGCTCTAGGCCTTCAAGCAGCATCTACGAGAACACCCTACTCGATAACGACACTTCAGTTGCTGGGAATATTTAGACTTATTTCGATTGGTGAAGAGGAGTTTTTAAAAAATGTATTTAATGCAAAAGTCGTGCTCCAGGCGGGTTAAACTCTCGCCTGGGCACGACTTTTGCCCATAACTCAGCATTCTTGTGATAACATTCGGAACGCGAACTGCGGCGTTAAACGGGTGGTTGAAGTTATTATAAAAACAGCTTCAAAAACTTGTAAAGCCTTCGGCCTCGCGGTTTCATGCCGATATCCCATCGATTACGGCTGACCGGCTCACCAAGTTAAACGTGTGAGTGCTGTAAGGCTACGGCATAAGCCGTTAAGCTGAGAGGGTAAAAGCGGCCCTGGTGGCGTAACGGATAGCGCACTCGCCCGGAAAGCGTGAGGTGCGGGTTCGACTCCCGCCTGGGGCACGACTTTTGCCCACAACTCAGCATTCTTGTGATAAAAATTGTTGATTATGCGGGATTTTCTGTTCATCCTAATACTTGGGTGCGACCTGTTAGTCGAAGAACCGATTTGCTCAGAATTATAATCTTTCTCTGAAAGAGAAACTTCTTGAGTAAGTTCATTTAAACACACTTGGCTTTCCTGGCGTTGTAGATTTCCAGCTCACGCTTTCTGCGTAGCTTATTGCGTGGGGGTCTCTGCCATCTGCTTCGGTCAAACGTCTTCGGCGCTTGTTCTGCGGCGGAAGAAAAAACTTTTTCTAGCCCTCTGTCACCTTCAAGCATAACATATTGCATTCTTTTCCTTAACTATCCGCAACGCAATTCTTCTTTGACCGCAACGGAGTGACTTTCTTAAGCCGGTGCGCAACACGCCCAGTGGCTGCTGCAAGGGTATGGCACACCAACCTATTCGAAGCTAGTTCTTCCTTGTAATGGTCAGAGAATATGCTCGTCGCCCGAATTCGGTCCCGAATTATGAGGGCATACTGTCTTGAGAAAAGCTCAAAATACCAGCAGAACTCGGCTACAAGACACACAGGGGACACTCCCACCTCTCCGCAGCAGCGCAAGCATCCTAGGCTCTTCCTCAGGATGCCACTACATCTTACAACGGGCCTGCTCACCCCCACCCCCCCCCCCTCCAATCCTACCTGACCGGCACGGACAGACGACACCGACGATACCATGGAACAAATTCTATTCTGCTAATTCTACCTTCTCTTAAAGGCAGTTGGCACGATAAATCCCAAGACGACTAGGATCAATACTCCTGGCAGGATAGAATTCCGCGACCCTGGGCAGGCGCTGCATAGCGGTTTCCCCGAAGGAAAGGTGCCCTTATAAGGGCCCTATCAAGCCACAACTTTACGTCCCAAACGCCCGCCACGCCCGCCCGCCCACAAATGGACGACCGTTCCTGACGCTCGTATTCATTCATTTGCTGAGCAAATTATGAAGCAAAGGTTTGGTATGAAGCGGGCCGTGATGCTGCATGCATATATGGGTACACATATGCAGCCGTATCTTCGGTAGCGGTGATTGGCAAGATGCCTACGGGAAACTCGTCCGAAATCGATTTTCAAGTCACTGAGAACGGAGGCTTTTTCTTCGCAGGATTTTCACAGGCGTTCCATCCGTTCTTTTCGCCATTTCCTCATTACACAGCGCTCTACTAGCATTTTAGGCCGAGCACCAAATCATCGTGTCAACTGGCTTTAACGTTGACATTGGTTAGCGAATAAAGGGACATAACTTGGTAGGTCCAGGCTTAATTCAATCGAGGATCTGTGCATCAACACACATGCAACTGCCTCGCTACTGTCCATTGGGAAGATTTATAGAATTCGCAAAGGATATTTTGGAGACAACGTCACAATTAAAGAATTACCGTACCTGATGCTCTCTTGCTCGCAATATCTCTGTCGCTTGCTCCCTTCGATGCCAATCTATTTTTCTACAAATGTATTGCATAGAGAAGCAATGGGGAAAAACAACCATGATAAGTACCTCTAACTCCTTGTCGTACTTGTCGGCGATGTAGTAAAGTACCGACGGGCAACGAACAAGCTGACCATAGTCATCGGTGCGATGACAGCGAAGACTAGAGAGATCTCTAGTGGAATGGATATGAATCGTGAGAGACGAACATTGTATTTCCTCACGCGTAGGCCGTTTCTTTGGTAGAGTTTCCCTACGTGTTGTGTCTAGAAAGACTAAGGATGGTGTTTCGTTTCAGGATCCCATTCTACCACTAACTAACAACACTGAATGTTCTCTATAGAAGGTCCATGTATCGTTCAACAGCCGCACGATCAGGTAGCAGATAAAAATGAAAACAGGGCGTTGCCGCAATCAGTGTGCGGGGCCGTGGCCTTGTCGCGCGCTGGTTGCACCTTCCTCACGTCTTTCTGGGCTGCGAAAGTAGCAACTCTCCTTGCTACCATGTCCAAAAAAGGCGACTGATCCTAGAATGAACGCGGCGCGTGCCTTCAAAGTGCTAACTTTATAATAACCTAAGGAACTGTGACTGAATCGATCATAGAAGATGGAGGAAGACTCTGCGCTGAGGAGAACCGAACCTACCTCACTTAGTGGACGATAATGTAAGCTATCGTGTCTGACTAGTATGAAAGCGGAACCTTTGCTCATATGCCACCTACTTAGAGGCAAAGCCCGCGATCAGATATTCTGGGTAGTGGTGCTGAACTAGCGATGCCAAGATGCCAACAAAGTCAATAGTGCAGAAAAAACAGAAAAAATCGCAAATACCCCTCATAAAACCCCTGCGACCACACTTGTACGAGCAGAGGGAGAGCAAAGAGAGTGATCGGACGAGATCACCGGGCAAGTGCTGTTGGTCGATGTGGTTGCGCCATTGATCACAGCTGATTTCCTGTTGCCAGTAGTGTCTCTGCCGATGAGCTACTGCCACTGAACTACTAGTCGTCCCATAGATTCAAGTAGCAACTTCGGTTCCCATGTTTGTAGAGAGCATTCCAAACAGGGTACGCCATCGTTGTGATCATCACAAGGGGGGTCGTATTTGACCGCGAGGGAGGGGGGTCGTATTTGGTCAGAGAAAAATTTTTTTGATAGTTGATTTCTCTTGTTTCACGGACGCTGTAAGGGGGGTGGTCATTTTTGGGAGGGCGGGGGGTCGTATTCGGTCAGTTCCCCCCCCCCCCCCCCGCTCGACGGCTCGGTTCGATGAGGAAGGACAGAGGGCTGGGAGGGGGTCGTACCAACTCCCAAAAAGGGGGGTCGTATTTTAGTATGGAATTAGGGGGGGGTCGTAATTTTCAGAAAATGATCACAACGCGATGGCGTGCC